ACCATCGAGTTGTTTATTCTGGATCATGACACTTTGTCAGAATCATGCTTTGTTTTCCCCGCCCTCCATCTCTCTCTCAAGCCCTGGAACTCAATGTACAGACCAGGCTGGCCTGAGACTCACAGAGCTCTGCCTGCCTCTGCCTCTGCCTCTGCCTCCTGAGTGCCTCAGTTAGAGGTGTGGCCATCCCACCAGGACAGAATTAGGCTTTAGAAGTGTCTCCTCCCAGACTGCACTGATCTCCTCATTTCTTCCTCAGACATATTTTGGAGCAGAACTTCTTGATCTAGATGGAAAGCAGTTCATTTTGGTTCTGTATCTAAGAAATATTCATTTTCCTCCCATGCCTGGCCCCAAGCCTGCTTACCCTCCTTGCTCAATCAGTGGTAAAGCAATGGAGGGAGGAAAGAAGGGAGCAGGGAAAGGGACACAAGACACGGGAAAACAGGGGTTACTGGGATTCTGGAGAAAGTGTACAAGCAATGCTTTCTTTTTTCCCATTTGAACCCAGGCCTTCAAGCACCATGCAAGCACTCTACCATCTGGGTCACAACCCCAGCCCCACGTTGCATCTTAAGAGACCCTAAGGAAGAGAAGAAAACTAGTTGGGCCTTAGGATCCCACAAGTAGGTCAGGGGCAGGCTGCAGATTCCAGAGGGAGCCCTGGTAGAGAGGGTGGGAATCTCCAAGGGAGACTTGAGGGGTCCTAAAGTTCTGATCTCCTGCCACCTAGTGAAAAGTCACCCCCTCTCCCTATCTCTTTCCCCCTCCTTTATTTCTTCCCCTACCTCTCCCCTCCAATTTTCCTTCTTCAGATTTATTTAATTTTTAACTATAAGTATATGTGTGAGAACGTGCATATTAATACAGGTGCCTTTGGTGGCCAGAAAAGGGTGTCAGGTCCCCTGGAGCTGGAATTACAAGTGGTTGTGAGCTTCCTGACATGGGTACTGGGAACCAAATTCTGATCCTCTGGTGTAACAAAATGTACTCTCAGCAGCTGAACTGTCTTTCCAGTCCCCACCCTCAATTTCCCTTTCAAAAATAAGGTCACACGTAGAACAGGTTGGCTTCAAACTCACTTCCTTGAGCTCCAAATCCTCTTGCCTCCGCTTTCTAAATACTGGGATCCCAGGCATGTGCTACTATAGCTCTCACCCTCCCATCCTCCCTCCACCCCTTTCCATCCTAGCTGTTTGCAAGTTGACTTTGGCTCTCTTCTGTGAGCCTTAGCTCACATCCTCTCCTGGGGTCTTCCTGGCTTCTCCTGTGGCCTTGCAAAGGTCTAGGATTCTGCACATAGTGAACCGTAGTATTTTGTGTCCTGATGTCTGTCTTCCCCTTACACGCGGTTCCTTGTGTCTTAACCAAGCCACCACAGAATATTCACAGACATTTTTAATACCTCCCTCCTGGTGACCTCAGGTTTGGTGGGGAGGAAAGAGGGTTCATACTGGCAAGGAAGGTGTAGATATGGACTGCCTGGCAAAGATTACTCATACCTTTGAAGACTCAAAGGTCCTGAAGAGATTTTTGCTGTCCCCACCCGGTCTGCCAGGACAAGCTGTTTGAAACAAGGGAGGAGACGGGTCACAGTAACACCATCATTCTTAAATCTTGAGTGGCGGTTGCTCAAATCACAGATGACCAGTTCCTGGCTCCTGAGACCAAACCAGGAGAGAGGGACGCTCCATCCCCGGGGCAATGTCAACTTCTTTAAGCTATGTTGATCACAAGAGGCGACTTAAAGCAGAACAAGTCTTTGGACACCTTTCTTCCTTTTGAGACAGCACCCAACCCTGGTTGTAATTCTTAACCGCTCAACAGACTATCTGCTCTGGATTTTATGTGGTTGAAATCAAAGCGTTGACTATCTGTGCTCTTTCTGGTCTGGGAAAGACCCTGTTCCAGGCTTTTCAGAGTGAGAGCAGGCTCTGGTTCCTTGAGGCTGTTGGATGGGGATTCCTGGGCCATTGTAGATGTCATCAGAAGTCACCCTTGGCTCCTCATGGTCACTCTGGTCTCTTGGGTCTGTACTATGTTCAGGCAAGAGAGGAACTGGGGCCCTTACCCACTCTGGTCTCTCTGGCTGTCTTTCTATTCTTGAGACAGTTGTGTCTCAGGGCTCATGTACCTAGATTACCAGGGTATCTCCCAATTCAAGGGCCAAGATCTTTCGTTTTGTTTTTCAAGACAGGGTTTCTCTGTGTATATCTCTGGCTGACCTGGAACACAGACCGGGCTGGCCTCGAACTCACGGAGATCCACCTGCCTCTGCCTCCCTGAGTGTGTGCACCACCACCACCCAGCTGGCCCATGATCTTTTTATTTTTAAAAAATTTGTGCATGTGCTTGCTAGCATGTCTGGTGCCCATAGGTGCCAGAAGAGAGTGTCGATCCTTGGAACTGGAATTCCAGACTATTGGGGTCCACTATGATTGCTGGGAGCCAAACCCAGGTCCTCTTCAAGAGTATTCAGTGCTCTTAACTGCTGAGCCATCTCTCTAACCCCAAGGTTCGTGAACTTAATAAAGCCCTTTTGCCAGTGACCTAATGTAGTCACAAATTCTAGGGACAAGGTGAACTTCTTGAAGCTAAGGGCCTTTGCTTGTCACCACAGGGCCTCTGGCCCGGTTCTCACCCTTCTTCCTCAACTTGTTTCTGTGTTGTCTCATTCTGTCCCCTGCAGCCAACAGCCAGGAAGATAAGACACCTTTTTCCAGGATATTCAGTTACATACTCAGTGGGTAAAGGTACTCGCTGCCAAGACAGCCTGAGTTCAATCCCAGAACCCACAAGGTGAAAGGAGAGAATGAATTCCTTCTGGTTGACCTATGACCTCCATAGGCATTCCGTAGTATGTATATACACACAAATAAATATTTAAAAAAAAATACGAGTTGCATTTATCTGAGACCAGTCTACTTTGAACATCCAAGACCCTGGCTGGGTCCAAAATTCTGAGCATGCATATTCTGGGCAGGAAAGGTAGAAATGTTGGACAAGACCCAGCTCTGGCCAGACCCGGAAGCCAAGGAGTCAGCTCTGTTAGGTCCAAAACCCGTAACCAAGGTTTGGGGTCTTCATCATAAGGTGCCACCTCTTCTCCAGATCGATGAGAGGGTTCTCTTTCACTTCGCTTAATTCTTTCAGATGAGATCATTCCAGATTATTGTCCCAGGGTGCAGCTGTACTATTGCCCTTTACCTAAGCCTCACTGCATCCCTCAATAAAATGAAAATAATAATAATAATAAAAAAAAATGTGCCTGGCCTGCCTAGTTAGAGCAGACAGGAGGAAATGTATGGAGAGGATTCTGTGTGTGTGTGTGTGTGTGTATGTGTGTGTGTGTGTGTGTGTGTGTGTGTGTGTGTGTGTACCTGAAAGGCATGCATCTCTGGTACCTCAGCTCTCCAACCCCTCATCTCTCTGGCTAGCAGGGCCATGGGCACAGATATCTGGCAGACTAGCATGGGAGCAGGCCTGTCCAGAATGCACCTGGCCAAGCTCTAGTCTGAAAAGGCAGCCATTCAAGGTTGGCTTGGCCAGGCGCCGGCTGATGAGAGACAGGGAGCCCTGTGCTCTGGAGGGAAGGAGACCCATGTGGCCTCAGTGTGGAGCTGAGCTGTCAGCCTGGGAGGGTAGCAGGCTGACTGGGAGGGGGAGGTGTCTCAGAAGGAAGACTGAGCTAGTGTTTGAGGCCTAGGGGCTGAAAGGCTGCTGTGTGTCCCATGCTAACTGCCTGGCAGGCAGGGATGTGACTCATTAGTGGCCAGGGGAGAGTGCAGTCTGGGTTCAGCTGTCCTGGATAGGGGGCCCACTGCCCACCCAGTGTGAATTTATGCCAGTATAAGTTGGGATGGGTATGATGGTGCCAGGGCTCTTAGGACTCCTTGCAGTATCCACGTCCTATCCCCTTCAGACTATAGCTGTGGCAAGACTGTCCCTCATCCCTGGCAGTGGCCCGTGCTGGCGTTCATCCCCTGCCCCCATCCCATGTTTAGCTTCCTGGGTTCTATACACCAGGAAGGGCTATCCCTAGTCTTAGCTGTTCCCACTATGACAGAACAGACGGCGGAAGTGACAGACAGCTTGTTAAGGTGATGAGAACCCCTCGAGAGGACATTTGAAGTGGATTTGTTTGTTTGTTTGTTTGTTTGTTTGTGTTTGTTTTTGTTTTTTGAGACAAAGCTTCTCTGTGTAGTCCTGGCTGTCCTGTAACTGGCTATGTAGCCCTGGCTGGCCTCAAACTCACAAAGATCCGCCTGCCTCTGCCTTCGGAGTGTTGGCCACCACTGCTCGGCTTGAAGTGGGTTTTTTAAAGGCAATCAGGAGTTCACACAATGTGGAAGGACGCAATACATTTGAGATTTGAGAAGAAGGAAGTCAGGGTCTTGGAGAACCAGAGGAAGACAGGTTTGCTGGAGTGATAACTGGGTAACGCAAGCTATTAAAGGTTTGTGAGTAGTGCCAGGGGTCCTGGAATGGGCACAGACTTGAGGACTGGAGGTGATAAAACAGACTGCACTGGGATACAGAAGGGGCCTGTTGGGTCCTGAGCCTATTCCCAAGGGCCTGCCAGGCAGGGTTTCACTGGTAAAAAAAGCAGCCAGCCATGGGCAGGTGTATACTCATGTGTAAGTTACTGGATGTGTTAAGTATCTCAGAACTTAGAGTATGCGTGTCCACAAGTGTTCTGTGTGTCTATGAATGTTACTATATTCATATTTCGTACATATAAATGCCTGGATATACGTGCTCACCGTCTGGGTCATTTGTCCATCTGTGTGGTTTTATCCACATCACTGTGGGAGCGTGCATTTGTGTATCTGCCTGTGTGAGAATGTTTGTGTGTACATTTGTGTATCTGCCTGTGTGAGAGAGAATGTTTCCTCCTACCGAAAGGAGCTGGGGTACAGCCTCAGGACACTGGCAATACCAGGAAACAACCAGGAAACAGCTCTTCCTCAGGTTTTATTCTGCCTTGCTGCTCCTGGATCCTGAGTTGTATCCTCTGAGTGACAGCCACTCCATACTTTCAAAGCCATGGGTAACCTCGGCTGCCCCCAGACTAGCAGCTTATTTGTGCTTGAGCACAAAAAGGAATCGGAAAGCTGGCCAGCCCCAGAGGTGTTGTGTCCACCCTCCACTGGCTAGCCCAGGGCTCCTCCCCACCCCAGAAAGAGGTGTCTAGATAACTTGAAGGAGTTGCCCACACAGCACCGCCCCTTCCTCCTTCCTCCTGGGCTCTGCATCAGAGCAGCTGGTCTTATATCCGAGCTGGAGCCTTGGCATAAGTGGCAAACCTCCGAGGTGTCGAGTGAACCTCCCGAGCAGAGTTGTTAAGAATGGTAGACTCACAGCAGAGGTGGCTCACACCTTTAATCCCAGTACTCAGGAGCCAGTGGCAGGCAGATCTCTGCATTTCAGGCCAGCCTGGTCTACAGAGGGAGTTCCAGGATGCCAGAGCTACATAGAGAAACCTTGTCTGGGGGTGGGAAGGATGGTAGACTCCTTCGAAGGATGTATCCTTCCCAGCTGTTCCTGGGGGCTGCTATCCATAGAAGGAGAATTATGACCCAGGTCATAATAACCCTGGAATCTGGTCATTGGTCTAGGGTGGGGCAGATGACACAGAGAGACCAGTGAAAGTCCCTCCCTGAGATTTTGTATGTGAATCTAGGGTAGATGGGAGTTGAGGTGAGGTGATAAATGCCCAAGGACATTCTGAAGCCTGCCTCCATCCATCTTGTGAAAGGACAGGGCGGCTATACAGTGTTGGTGGTATTTCTATGATATGGGCTAACAAGTCCCTTTTGCTTAAGCGACTTGGAGTCAGGTTACTATCACTGAAAGTCGGAAGTCCTGGACTATGTCTTGCCTGAGCCACATGCTGGGATGCCACAGATACCTCACCTGACCCCTAACATCCCTCGTAGTCCCTCGGCTTCCTCGGTTTCCACCCAGATGTCTTACTCCCAGTGTCTGTTCTTCTCAAGCTTCTAAACCTGCCTCTGCTTTCTGTACCATCATCTGCTCATGAGAAACTGGAGCTTCCTCGGCTATCTGGCCCCAATTTCCTCCACAGCTACTTCCCTGTTCTGTCTCCTCCCCAGGACCTCATGAAGATGTGTCCCTCTTCAGGCCCTTCTCACAGCTGACCAACAGGGCTCCCGAGCGCTCCAGGCTGCCCCACATCAGAGCTGCCTGGGAAACTCAAGAGGTGCTTTCTCCACGGCTTCCCAGACAGCTCTGCTCACTCTGGCCTTGGGATCAGCGCTGTGAAGCCCTATCTGTGACTCAGCACCACCACCTCCTCGATTGTTGAGACTTAGCTCCACGAGTATGGGGCAATCAAAGGTCATTTGGGTTTTCTGGAATGGGGACAGGTTGCCTGACTTCCTCCATTTCTGGTTCATTCCCTCGTGATCTGCATTTCGTTGGAGTCCAGTCTTCTCCGGTGTCCTGAGCGTGCTCTGTCAGAAACATAGAGGACCATGACTGACCCTTTCTACGAATGTCAGAAGTTACTGAATAACAACCTCACGACGGGCAGAAGTACCACTGCCGGCATTCATCAGCCAGCCCCACTTTCCTCCATCGCCGGATCAGCCAGCCCCACTTTCCTCCATCGCCAGATCAGCCAGCCCCACTTTCCTCCATCGCCGTGGCTGAGGAAAGCACAAATCCTCTTGTTCCAATCTTAATTACCAGCATTGACACTGTGTGTGTGTGTGTGTGTGTGTGTGTGTGTGTGTGTGTGTGTATGGGTGTGGTTGTAAGTTAGAGAACAGCCACTAAGGCTAAGGAGAGCCCAGCAAGCCTGCATCCCTCCAACTCACCTCCACCCCCTCCTTTAAGTCAGAGGTCAAGAAAGAGCAAAGACTGAAGGGGGAGGAGGGGAGGAGGCACGGAGTGGGGCTTCGGAGCAGAGGGTGTCAGCCATTTAAATCTAGTTGGAACTCTTGAAAGTCAGAGCTCTGAAGGAGTTTCCAAGTGGCCTGAGCCAGAAGCTGATAAGGACACAAAGGGACCTGGGGTGGGGGTGGAGGGGTGAG